GGGCATTGCTGATTCCTTGGCTACAGATGGCTGAGCCCAGGAGAGCTGGAGGAGGGGGTTCTGAGGCATTTCCCTTCCCATCTTTTAAGAGCGAAGTCTTAGTTGGAAACTGAACTGAGAGATCTTGGCCCCCAACCACCCGCCTGGCTCAGGGTGCTTTTCAAGAGGCTTAACCAAGTTTTTAGGAAGGAAGCCAATCTTGCCCCCTTTCTGCTCCTGGGGGGGGGGGCTGAGCCCTGGAGCAGGTTGCGCCCCACACCCTGACCATGAGGAGGGTTTCCTAGCTGGCCTGTGAGATACTGGACCAGAAGGACTCTGGCTGGCTCCAGAAAGCAGCCATAATTCACTTTTATCTCAAGGGACGATAAATTTCCATATTAAAAAAGAGCGCAGGGGAAACCAGGCCTTTTCTGGCGCTCTCTGGGGGAAGGCAGTGATTTATGCCCACGACGTGAGAGCATTTTGTACTCTCCACTCTAAAGGAGAAAGCGAAGTGTTTTGAGGCTGGGTGGGGCAGCCAGAACCTTTCCCTCCACTGAAGATATTGTAAGTGGGGTCAAGCCACTTGCCTGGGGCAGCCCTTCCAAGCCTGCCCTCTCTCCCCACCCGCCGGGATTGGAATACATCTCCCATCATCCCCACTCAGCAGTGACTCCAGGAAAGTGTTGGTTGCACTAACCCTTAAGGCTAAACCTGGTGCAAAGTATCAGGACTGAGTCTGTTTGCAGTACTAAGCCAAGGTTTCTCAACCGGGGCAATTTAAGATGGGTGGACTCCAACTCCCAGAATTCCCCAGCCAGCTTGGGAGTTGAAGTCCACCTATCTGAGAAGTGGCCTAGATCAGGGGTCCTCAACCTTGGCAACTTTAAGACCTGTGACTCCAACTCCCAGAATTCTGGAAGTTGGAAGTCCACAAGTCTTAAAGTTTCCAAGGTTGAGGACCCCAGGCCTAGATCGAGAAACACTGCTCTAAGCCACAATGGCTGGTTCACTGCAGGTAAACCAAACCCAAACCAGCCACGTCCTGAGCAGTCTGTGCAGGTCTCTTTGCATTGGGGAGACCCAGCTGCTGACCAGTTGACCAACAGTTACCCCCCCCCACACACACACTGCCCCCACTTTCAGCCCGGCTGCACCCGCAGATGCCTTTCTGATTTGGCTCCTGCGGTGCTTCCAGGATGAAGAACAGAGGGCTGCCTCCTTCTGCCAGCAGAAAAACAGCACCGTTCGGCCAATGGGCAGCCCTCAGACTGAGGTTGTTTTGGCACCAAACCTGGGAGGCAAGGCAGGCAAGTCTTGTGAATGCACCGGTAGGGAGATTAAACGGGGAGTGCCGGACAAAAGATTTCGTTTCAAAGAAGCCCAACCTGGAGCACTACAGATGGTGACAACTTAGCTCAGGAATGCTGCCCCCTTTACCAGCCACACAGAGTGCCGAGCGTTTCTGAATTCCTGAGCCTGGAAGACTGGCTGGCAACAGAGGCTGCTTGCTAAGTTTTCCTGCGCTGGGCAATTGCCTCGCCAAATATGCTGGGAATGCAGTCTCATTCTCGGCTTATTCTTTTTTCCTCCTCCAAAGGGGCTTAAAAGAACAGATCAGATGGGCAACTCAGGATTTGGACCGTTCCCCGACAGGATATCATTATCCCTGAGAGCTTCTGCACCGGAGACAAATTCCTTGTGTGTCTAATCACACTTGGCCAAAAAAGAACTCTTTATTCTATTCTCCAATATCTATTCTATTCTATTTTCCAATATCCTATCCTATTCTATCCCATCCCATCCTCCTATTCCTATTCTCCCCACTTGGTTTTCTTTCCTCTTCCTCCTTTGTGTTTTAGACTGGAAGCTCTTCGGGGCAAAGTTTTGGCCCCTCAAGTGCCTCAGTGCATAAACAAACACAGGGCTCATTGGCGAGTCTACCTTAATGTTCACACTCCCACCGCAGCTCTCACAGCGGCAGTTATATGCTGAGTTTACGTTCCTCCTACCGGTAATAAAGGACCTGGGAATTTGCTTAAAAAGAAATCTTAGGAATCAACAGTTCCAAGTAAAACTTACCCAGCTGACACCACTGACCTTCTAGTTCTTCAAGGGCAGTCCAAAATGAAACACATTGTAGTAATCAAAAGGGGGAGCCACTCAGACACAAATGAGTCTCTGACCAGGAAACAGGGATCCCTGGTTCCCTCATTGCACAAATGAACACAAATGCAACCAACGTGTTAAAGCTTCAAGGCTCTCCTCAAGGTGGACACTGTTCTTCTGTGTAAGGTCCTTTCTTGACCCAAGGATTCCCCACTGAAATGGGGTGCATAACATTTTAGAAAACAGAATAGCTGGTGGGTTCATGAGAGCACTGAAGGAAGGAGCGACTTGATTCAAAATTTTATTTAGGGTAAATACAAAACAGCTTTGTGGGCCAGGTAAAGAGCATACATACAGTGTAACATCAAGAGAGTGCATCATTTTGGACAGTGGCCATCTTCCTTTGGGTGGGCATGGCTTTTTCTGAGGGTGAACCCCTCTCCCAGAGGCCTGGGTGCCATGAAAGGAGCCTCGGCTGCATCCAGATGTTCCAGGGACGCACAGCAACAGAGTGTGAGAATTTCCAGAGTTGTTGAAGGATGGGAAGAATCACCAGCAGGCCCTCCTTCCCGATTGCTTCCAGTGGAGACATTTTCCCGCTCTACCAATGAAGCATCTGCCCTGAGGCAAGGACCCCCTCCTTCACTGGAAGGAAGCCCGCCCAGGAAAGGTGAGCACGGCTCTTCCATGGGAAGGGACCCGTGGTTGACCAGGTGCTTCTTCAGAAAGGTAATGCCGAGCACCAAGGGTGACGTTTTAGTCAGTGGACGAGAGCAGAGGGGCATAGCCTGGAGAAGAACTTGGGCGGCTGCTGTGTCCCCTTCCTCAAGAGCCATTCCCCGTTTTGACTGAAGCACCCCAGATTCAACCCATCAGCAATTTAAAGCTCTTTGCCAGCATGGCTGTTTTGCTGGAGGATGCCCGAGGAAACACAAACTGCATCTGGAAATTCTCTCCCTTCAGCCTTGGTGCCGGTTCCCCTGCTTGGCCTCTCTGCCTCTGCACCCCGAGCCCCACGTCCCCCTAAATGTCTCTGCTGCACAATGCCAGTTTGGTGTAGGTTTTACAATGGGGGGGCAACGGACAAAAGCTGTTCACAAAAGAGATCTGCTCACAAAAGCTGGTCCTTCAAACGGTCCCCTTCTCAATGGAGAGCCAGACTGAAGCCCAGGCAGGTCGCTGCAGGTAGCATCCTTTCCAAAAATAACATGAAATTCTGGCAAAGTGTTTTCTATCCAGGGATCTGTTTCTGGTGACCATGTGGCATGATCAGGAGCCGCCAATCATGGGGACCCTTATGGAACAATCCAAACAAGGACACCCCTCCCTGCAGGAAGAAAAGGGTGTCTTGCAGGGCAGAAACACAGCTCTGCTACTTTCGGGCTGGCTGGCGACACGTTTCACGGAGATCTGACCTTCTATCCACACTGACCATCCACAGGCTGGAGGACACAGTCCACGAGCAGATTTTGCCCCGGCTTCTACAGTTTGGCATGTAGATGCCACCCAGCCACACACCCCTGGCTGAGACTCTCCAGCGCCCAGCCTGAGCTTCCTGACTGAATTCTGCCCCCCCCTTCAGCCAGATGATGCCAGTTAGCGCTTCCCCAAAGACTGGAGCTGAGCAGCTGGTTACAAGCTGAGCTACGACGCTTAAGAAAGCTTCAAGGTATTCAGGATGGTTTAAGAAAGCTTTTTTTCCCCCCAGCAGACAAATTGCAACCCCCGTTCTGAAAATTTCTGCCACCCAACAGCCAAAACATATTAAGGAATTGCCCTGTTTTCAGTCATGTTGCAGTTTGGAATAAGAAGCACAAAGAATAATTTTACCTTAGCTAAGATTTTATGTCACATTAAAGGAAAAATAATTGCAGCACCTTTGAAATTGCAGCCTCTCACTCAGATGGAGCTTTTTTTCTAAAGCGCTTCAGTTTAGAGAGCGGTCCACTGATCATTTACTGGAAAAATACAGTCTGGCTTTATTGTTCAGATGTTAAATATGCAGACATGGTCTTTTGCAATTCCTAAAATCAACATCTGACTTCCCTTAGCAAAGCTTGGGGAACAAAACAAAACAAAACAAAAAGACCAAAATGCACATTACTAGTCCTCAGGGGTTCATAGAGTTTAAACTCACAACCCAAGAGCAGCTTTAACGGACACAACGTGGTGCCATCCCAGGTCTAAATCTGCCTCTTGGGCCCGTCCTTGTTCGCAGCAATGAAAAACTTAGATATGGACCAGGGTAGACACCCCACAAAACAAAGTATCCACAAAAACAAGAGAGAAAAACGGTTGTGTTTAATGCTGAGCAGGTGTGTTTGGTGCTCTCTGCCCCAGAGGAATACGGGCAAACGGGCATCGCATCCTTCCGAAAGCAGGTTATTCTAATTCTTGGTGGGGGTACAGGAGGGGCTGCTGTCCACAGTGTGCTGAACCGAGTACTTTTAGTGCAATAGGGTCCTGTGAAAGATTCCTCCATCTGTGAAACTGTCTCGTAACACTGGCAGAGAGCCACCTGCCCCAGCTCCAGGGGGGCGGCTTCTCCGGGTCGAAGACGTCTCAAGCTTGCTTTCCCACGTGATACCAAAGAGGATAATAAATAGATCAAAACTTCAGGATATGTTATAATACTGACTTGATCACCCCAGTTGTGAGAGGCAAGATTTTTTTCTCCTGAGATACAAGAAACAAAGGCCGGGGAGTGGGGGTGGGGCAGAGGGGGTACCCTAACACTGTACCATGGGGTGGGCTTGCCAGGAGGCTGTGGATAAAGTGTTGGGTCTTCTCACATACCCCAAATGTTGGCAAGGGCTTGGCAGTGTCTCTCTGTAGCACGGCCCCTCCACCTTCCCACCCACCCCCACCCCGTGCTCGGCTCACTTTCTTCCCAGCGAGACCCGTGCGGGCGTTTAGCCTTCCTCTTCCCGCAGCTCGCTGGGGAGGAACTTGTACTGCTGCTGGCGGATCTGGGCCAGCTTTTTCCGGGCTTCCTCCAATTCCCGTTCCTTTTTCAGCATCTCCTCCTGGGCTGCGATGATCTGGGGAAACGAGACAAGGATGGTGCTACAGAAGCCCAAGGTACGAAAAACCAGCCAACCTCCTTGACTGAGAAGCAGCTGGAGCGTGGAAGAGTCCAGGTCATGCGGTGTCTGACACCCCCAAGGGGACCCCCGAGGGAAGCTGCCCTTTCTCCCTCATCCCAGAGGGGGAAGGGACGACGAGGGTCTTCCTGAGCTAGAAGGAGCTGCTCTCTCCACCAGCTCCAGCTCCTGCCCAGGGTCAAGCGAGTGCACGGTTCCTCCAACAGACTCAAGCGATCCACAACCTGAGAAGAAATGGGACGGGGGGCACCAGGGAGCAGGCTCACCTGCGCGATGCCCCCCACAAACTTGGTCTTCACCACCACGTCGTCATCATCCGCCTTCCCAAAGGCCGCCTTCTGGGCTGCCCTGACCAGGTTGTCCGACGCCCGTTTCACGGCATTGCCTGCCACCTGCGGACGGAGAGCAGAGACAGCAGCGGGAAGTGTGTTGCTTAGACTGTGTGTAATTTGAAGGTGTGTGGTGCACACAGCTCAAGGGCCGCCTCAGCCTGTGAAGGAAGGGCCACATCTCCCCCCCATCCATTTGGGGACGCCCTACCTGCAAGCAGAGCGCGCTTACCTGCAGCCTCCTCATGGCCTCCGAGTCCTGGTCGGCCTTCACTTTGCAGGCCACCAGCAGCTGGGCCGTGGAGGCGGCCACTTGCTTGGCCGAGGAGATGAGCTTCTCCTCGCTGGCGTGGCCCTGGACTGAGGCGTTGGCCGCCTCACAGAGGTTGCTGGTCGCAGCTGCCACCATCCGGGCCTGCCGAGGACATCCGAAGAGGGCCAGGCCCCGCCTGAGTACGGAACTGGGCCAGGTGCCCCTCAGATCCAGTCAAAGGAGGAAGGTAGTCCTCCATGAATAACCATATTCGCTTAGTGACCATTCAAAGTTACAACGGCACTGAAAAAAGTAACTTACGACCGTTTTTCACAGGATTGTTGCAGCATCCCCATCATGGTCATGTGACCAAAATTTGGGTGCTTGGAAATTGGCAAGTATTGGTGAGAGTTGCCCTGTCTGGGGCCACCATTTGGGGCCTTCCCAGCTGGCTTTTGACGAGCAAAGCCAACAGGGGAAGCTGGATTTGCTTAACAACTGCAATGATTCCCTTAATGGCTGTGGCAAAAATGGTTGCGAAATGGGGTGCAACTCACTTAACGACTGCCTTGCTTAGCAACAAAAACCTTGGGCCCCATTGTGCTCGAAAGTTGAGGCCTGCCTGTAACTGACACAGGATCTCATTCAGCATCGCACAGGCAATTGGATCTCGGGATCCGCGGTCTGCCCTCCAGCCCTCTCTCCATCTGGTCCCCTCGGTCAACGAGAGGAACCCCAAAGCCCGAGAGGTTGGGGGGGAGCTTAAAGAAAGGAATGGCAAACTCAGAAGTGACTCACCGCAGAAATCAGCCCCTGGGACCACTGTCCATCGTCGGCGGCGTTGGCAGGAATGGCCCCCACCTGGAAGTCCAAATTCAAAAAGGCCTTCACAACATTTCAAAGCGTGGTTGTTTGGTAAATAAAACGGAAAGGGAATTATTATTATTTTGCTTTCTAAAGCAGCATTTCTCAAGCTTGGCAACTTGAAGATGGGTGGAAGTCAACTCCTAGACTCCAACTTCACGATGAGTGGACTTCAACTCCCAGAATTCCCCATTCTTGGAATTGAAGTCCACCCATCTTCAAGTTGCCAAGCTTGAGAAAGTATTCTAAGGAATCCTTTGTCTTCAAGATAGGATCAAACTGCACACTTGGGCACTACACAGCCGTAAGAAGATGGCGCCATCAAGGCTACTCCCTTTTTCTCTCCTCGCTTCTCTGGATTGGCTTCGGGTTTGGGTTTACCTATCACATTAAGCTGAAAATGCAGCTCTGCCTTTGGATCAGTAGACTGCAGGAAGCCAGCCAGGCCACCGTGGTTATTTTACAATTATAGCTGAAAAAAGTACAGTGTAGAAATATGTGGCCAGGATTCGTTGGAGAGAAAGGGGGACAGAAAATAGGAAATGCTCCAAGCGTGAGGCGGACGGAGGCAGAGAGCTTCCCAGTCGGGGTGGGGGTCCCGGTCACCCACCTTGCCTTGGGCGACCAGCTCTCGCTGAGCAGCGGAGGCTGACTTGACGAGGGCGCTGGTGGCGGCCGCGATGGACTTGGCCGCTTCGAGAATCTGTTCCTCAAAGTCAAGGGTCTCGTCCGCCTGCTGCAATCAGAAAAGAAGCCCATCAGGCTGGCCGCACCTGGCGGTTCCCGTAACTGACCGCCTGGCGTCGCTATTTTAAAACCTTTCCTTCAAGAAATCCCACAAGGTTAGAAGCCACGTTTTGTGGCAGTGCGTGTCAGTCCCCATACAGAGGTCCGGCCTCTTGGACCAGAGCAGCAAAGAGACCAAAGCGAAGAGATAAGGAATAAATAAAGCGCACGGCAGGGGTCCTTGCATTTGCCCCCTCTCTCCCCCCTATGCAACCTTTATACCAGCCTGGGAGAGAGAAAAAAACATCAGAAGAATCTGCAAAAATTCCTCCAAAACCTCCCTGTGGAATTTGTTATTGCCTCCTGCCATGTTCTATGGAAAACAACGTCCCCGGAGACAAAGCGAGACACCGTAGGAATGTTTGATATATAGTTGGGCTAAATTACAACCTAATATATCAAACATATCACACAGAGTCTCACAGGACAAAAAAGGCCTTCAGGTAGGGGTCAGGCTGAGGAGAGGCATGCTCAGTCGGGGGAAGCCGGGTTGGGCTCCTCCTGCCGCCCTCCAGAGGCTGGAGCCGATGGGCCCAGTTCGAGGGGAACGAAGGTCCCCGTTGCAAGAACCCTGCTGCCCCCAACAGCTTCTCAGCAGAAAGCGCACAAAATATTTCCTATCCTGTGTTATGAGTCACAGGCAAAGAGACGATGATTTGTTCCCATAAATATTCGCGCTCTCTCAAATGCAAAGCAACAGCTTCGGTTTCAACCCATCTCAGAATAGTTCAACTGAAAGATCTTCAGCGTGACTGATAATCTCTGGGCAGCTTCCACGTTGGAGAGAAAGGGAGTGTGTGGGGTGCCACCAGCCACTTAAGTGTGGCCTGCTCTGATCTGGCTGGTCTTGGGAAAGCAGCAGCTTTGGCCAGATGTGGTTCACACGTGGCTAGGACAGGCCTGAGATGGCCATCACAATGTCCTCCTCAATATAGACCTCTCTTGAGGTGGCAAGGTCTCCCCTCCTCAGCCAAGCCTCTTCTTCAGCCCTTGCAGACAAGTTGGCACAGACCCTGGGCAGACCCCTCCTGTTGTTTTCCCGAAGCATCTCTTTGAGGGTCCAAGAGACCGTGATTTCTCACCCCCATTCAGCTAAGACACTCTAAGAGCACCACATGCATCTCCCGGCCCTTCAGGAGAGGAGAGATTCTGCTTGGTATCCCTGCTTGCTTGTGGGTCTTCCCTAGGAGAGGGTCTCCAGATTGCAGCCCCCCTCCCCTGCTCACCTTGGGCTTGGCTCTGGGTTTCAGCTGTTCCAGCTTTTTGGCAGCTGCTTCAATGGAAGCAGCAGCTCCGAGTAATTCCGTCTCGGCAATCACGGTGGGGTCTTCAGGGTTGACCCATTCGGTACCTGGAGATTGTAGACAACAATACAGATTATTGTAGTCTATTTTACAACTAAACTAACAACTATTTGATCTCCTCAGCTGGGAGACAGATGCAGCTTGTGTAGTCCTCACATCTTCTAGTATGTGGTCTTGTTTATTTCATCCGTTGTGTTACTGGTATCTCTGTACCTCTGTTTGTTGTAATGTCTCTCACTGACCCTTTATAAGTAAAACATTACACCTTGAAGAGACGTCATACCAGGTCAGAGCAAGGTACCAGTGAAGGCTGTCATAGAAGAACAATGGAAGGAGACACCCTCAACTCAGGCTCAGCATCCGAGGGCCACCAGTGGCTTCTTTGGCTTCCCCACCTGGCTGCAATGAACGTGGGGATGACCAGGACGACGAGACCAGCCAAGGGAACGGCCAGATAAAAGGCAGCTTAGCCCATGGCAGGAATGTGGGTGGGCAAGAAGCTGAGAAGAGGCCCTCCCTAGTTTCTGGGCTGTAAAGGAGAAGGGGGAAGAATTGCACTGTCAAACTGAAAGATTCTGTTAATGTAACCTGACACCAAAGTAGCCTTAGCCCATCTGGTCGGGCTACTTATTAAGGCCGACCCCAGCCTGCAGCCCTGGGATTTTCTGCTGGCCTCCTTCTCAAGGTCAAACAGGGTTTATGCTGTTCAGTTTCTAAATCTAGGTACATTAAGGCAGTTGTTTAGTTTCTAGGCCTACATAAGGAGGAGATGATTCTTTTTCTCTGTTTAGTTCGGCCAGGAGAGACCCAACACTGCTGACTCCTATACAAGGTCCTTGTTCAGGGTTTTCCCCACGTGTGTCCCCTGCCCAGAAAGGGACCTCCCCTCCCCTTTCTCTCGCCTCCACAGGAGGCCACCTTGGTTCCAACCAGACGTGCTCTCCAATTCTTGGAGTCCAGGGTAATTTCCGCAGGAGAGGAAACTTACCTTTCATGGCTTCGGCAGACTGCATGAGCTCCGTCACAGCCCCCGCCACCCCCTTGGACAAGGCCGCCAGCAAATGCTTCAGCTCGGCAGTGGGCTTCTGGAGGATCTGTGCGCATCGAGCGGGAGGGAGGGAGGGGAAAGGTTCACCAAAGGCGGCTTCCTCAGCATCCCCCCCCCTTTTTCCTCCAAGCTCTCCCTCAGCAGCCTCCCCTGAAGCCAGCGCAGGGCAGTTCTCTCGTCAGGGAGGGGCAAAGGGGCCGCCCTCATTACCATCAGGACATGTTCCAAGAGCTGCAGGTAAGCCAAGGTGCACTCCGTCCCATAATGCAGCGCTCTCGCCCGCACGTCTTCACTGACATCGGGGTGGAAGGAGGCTTGCTGTGGGGCAGAACACCAAGCCCTTCAGAGGGAGCCAAAGCTCCTGGCAGGGATGGGGAAGCCACAAAAAGGGTGCCCACCAAATGCTGGGGGTCTTTCCGTAGCATTTGGTGTGGAAAAGGCTTCCTCCGTATTGACGCCTCGCTCCTCCTGATCAACCGATGGGGGGAGGGTCCCAATCCTGCGTGCTCCCCAAGAAATGAGCATTCCCCTTTCGGCACCCCCTTGCCAAGGCATTTCCACCCCCAGCTGCCAAAGAGCTCCATTCTACGGGAGGCTCGTTTGCTGCAAGCACCCTTGAGAACCGAATGCGAAATGCGCTGGGCTTTTGAGACACCAAAGATTAGCCATGTGCTCAGGTTGCCAATCAAGATCCCTTCCACCCAGGGGGAGATCTGAGGCCCCCAGGCTACAGAGATGCTCTGTGCACGTGGACTGCAGGAGGAGACACCCCCTCCCCTGATCCCCACCCTGGGGAGGACAAAGCTTGACCAGAAGCCGCAGTTCAGCTTGAGAGTTTTGACCTGGGATCTGCAGCTCGCACGATCCATCTCCTGGCCAGGATGGGACACAGCTGTTCCCAGGGCTGGGCTGCTGTGGGAGGGCGCTTTTACTCCCCATTCCCCTCCTGAAACAAAACTCCTTTGGTCCTTGGGATGCCCCCAGAATCAGTTGTTGGGTTCTGCAGCTCCAAGCAACAAGCAACAAGCAGAGCAAAACAAGAGATTCTGTCTTTGTTCATCTCAGACTTACACTCAAACACAAACACACTTACATACACAGACAGCCTCTGAATCGCTGTGCAGCCCTGTTTGAGTTGGCTCCCAATATAACTAGCAAGACCTGTATTTAGTTCTCAAAACCCTCCATGCATTTCTTTGCTGGCATCACTTAAGCTCAAGAAGACGAGTCTGGTGGGGTATGGAGCACACACCCCCCTTCTGCTGTGTTCCTCGAACTGGGGGTTGGAGGGAGGCTGCCCTCAAACCTGGAGAGTCCACGGAGCTCTCCCCATCCACAGTCCCAAAGGGCTCTCTCCCCGGGAACTGGCCCAACCCCTCTGAAGAGCTATCCATGTTCGTTTCAAAAGAAAACAAGACAAGCGGATCTTCAACGCAACACACAGACCCACAAACGCTTTTCAAAGGCAAACCTGCCCTCCTGCAGCGACGCTCCCCGTCCTTCGAGCGTGTCTGCAAATCAGCCCAGCCGCGGGAAGGCCGGGAGCCCCGAATCAGGAGAGGCTCTCGGGGAGCTTACCTTGCAAGCCGCCAGCATGTCAGCCACGGCTTTGCGGCTGAGGTTGGCCGTGGCAATCACATCCTCTTGCCGGCAGGAATTCCCGGCTGCCACAGCTTTGGCCGTTGCCATGGTGATGCCTTTCGTCATCCGGATGGATTCTTCTGGGGAGCAGGTCTTCTCGGGAACGTCCTTGGACTGGAACACCTGGAGACGCGAAGGAGGCTCAGTGCAAAAAGGGGCCAAGAGAAGTCCCGGTGGGAGGCAAGGACTACAGTGTCCGTCCCTGTTGAAGAAAGCAAGCCCCGAGCTGGCAGGGGAGAACTAAGACCCTTCCTCTAAAAGGGCAGCAACTGTCAGGCTCCCCCAGAGCTCTGCGCAAGAACGATGGGACTGTGGCCTGTCCAAGTTGCTCTGCTCCCCCACCCTGAAGGGAAGGTCAGAAACCGATGCTCAGCTGGAAAGCAGAGCCCCTCCCCAAATCTCAGTTTTAGGAAGTTGGGTGGGAATGGGCCCTTGGCCCCTGGCTGGGATCAGGACACAGCGGGAATACCGTGAGCTCCTGCTTGATGTACTCAATGGTGGCCTCAAGGGCCCTCGTTCCACGGGTGGCCTCGTCCTCGACCGCCTTGACCGTCTTCAGGAGGGAGGTGACGTTGGTCACCATCACCTAAAAGGAAGGAAGGAAGGAAGGAAGGAAGAAAGGAAGGAAGGAAGGAAGGAAGGAAGGAAGGAAGGAAGGAAGGAAGGAAGGAAGGAAGGAAGGAAGGAAGGAAGGAAGGAAGGAAGGAAGGAAGGAAGGAAGGAAGGGAGAAGGAAAGGAGGCATTGCAGCGTCTCCCTGGCTGGTCAAGGAAGTCCTCTGCAAGGCAGGGCCGATCCTTCCCGGTTTCAGCAGCAGAATTTGTGCAACGGTGTGGGGAGTTCAGCCCCACTGTGGAGGATGAATGGATGACTGATGCAGAAAAGATATTTTGAACATCAGGGTGAATATGAAATCTCCCTCAGGGCTGAAACTTGGACCCTCCACAACAGATATTTCTTGAGCAAAGGTCTCACTTGGGAGGCCGTAAGAGGAGAACCTGGCTGGTCTGTGGTGGGAGAAATCAGGATTCTGGTAGCACCACCAATTATATTAAAGGGCTAAAGGCTTGAAAGCCTTTTAATAAAACGTGTTACATGTCTTATGTCCCTCTGAGCTCAAGGCAGAACAAACTCAGAAGAACAGAACCAGGCACTGCCCTCAGACATGTGCAGAGCTTAATCTCAAAACCCCAGAGTTGTTTGCAAGAGAAGCAAAAAGCACAATTCTCCCCAGGAGGAAACACAGCTCGAGTGTCGAGAAGATCTGCAAGGACCACTGCACGCGCCTTAAATAGTTGCAGGCAATTATTTGCCAATTCTGGGAATGTAGGTAAAAGCAATATTTGAGACAGAAAGCCAAAGCTCCTGTGGGCAACCTGGCTGAGACTTAACAAGGAAGAGCAATTTTTTCCCCGTACCTTGGCAGCCCCCTTGAGCTGGTACATGGACGGGTCGTCTGCTGGCTTGCTGGCGGCTCCTTTGGTGGCACCGATGAGGTCAGACAAGGCCTTTGCCACATCCTTAATGGCATTGATTAGCACAACCTGTTAGAAACAGGGCCTGTTAGCTGCTCTAGAGGTTCTCCATCCAGCCATGTCTTCTGGCCTTTAGTGAGGAGATATTTCAGTTTATAAGGTGAACTAGCACTGGAGAACAGGTGGAGAACATTTCAACCACCTGATCTCTAGTGAGATGGGCAGCTATATACATTTGATAAATACATAAAAAATAGAACAGATACAACTGACCCGCAGCTACTTGCAGGCTCCCATGCTTCTTGACCCAGTCTCTGAACCTGCTCTGGTGCAGAGGACCTCTAAGTCCACTCAACCTGGCTCCAGAAGCCCAACAGAAGATCTTGTCTGGCAAGAGGTTCTACGCGATTTGGCAGGTGACCCAACCTCCCCCCCCGATCCTATGATGGAGCCCATCCTATGGCATCCCCCCATACACACCTGTGTTTCAGGGTCATCTGAGCCCAGGCTGGCCGCTCCCAACTTCACCACCTCTGCCAGCTGCGTGATGGTGCTGGCGGAAGACTGGGCTGCTTGGGCCAATTTCTCCTGGCTGGAGGCGGCTCCGGAGACCAGCAGCTTGGTGTCTTCAACCAAAGTCTTTGCGGTCTTTAGAATATTTTCCCTGGGAAAAGAAACCGGGTGGAAGCAGGGCGAGCGGGAGCAGGCAAAACTCAGGCAGCACCTTCCCCTCGTTTGCATAAACAGGTGCAAAGCAGCAGAAGCTGCTTGTGCCATTTTTATTGTGCATTTCTGATTGATTGCCTCTGGCAGGTGAATCCTCCTTCTGCATTCCGCCCTCCCTTTTAGCTTTAATTACGTTGGATAGGAACTTAAAAAATAAACCAATTATTCTGATTTATGCTCAGCTACAATCATGAATGCGGTATTTCCAAAATCTGTTACCATAATCAAAACTTAGCTCCGGGTGTTGACCTGAACAGGGTGTTGAGTTTTTGGATGCTTTGTCTTACTTAGGATTTATCTTTATGGACAAAGAATTTATCTTTACCAAGTTATCTGCTGTTTAAGGGTGAAGGGAAAAAAATTCATTTAGCCCAAAGGAAATTAAAATTATTTCTAATGATTCAGGACACAAGTTCTCTGTACTTCTACCTAAAATACAACAGTACAGTTAATTTGACCTTTGGATCTTGAATAACATCACATTACTACTACTATTAGTAATGGTGGAGTAGTAATTAGAATGCAGTACTGCAGGCTAATTCTGCCGACTACTAGCAGTTCAATCCTGACCAGCTCAAGGTTGACTCAGTCTCCCATCCTTCCTAGGTCAGTAAAAGAGGACCCAGATTGTTGGGGGAGGGCAATATATGCTGTCTCTGTAAACTGCTTAGAGGGCTGCAAAGCCCTGTGAAGTGGTATATAAGTCTAAGTGCTGTTGCTATTACTACTGCTATTAAATCAACAACTGAATGCAGTTTCCTCATGAACCTCTACATTGTCGCTTCTTTCCAAACCTCTCAACAATTTCAGAGTAAACTTAACCCGAGCCCCCCTCCCCCAATTATATACCCAGCCTCACCTGTGATCGGCAAAGGATTCGTTGTTCTCGGCATTCAGCGTCCCAGCCGCAGCAAACATGATGGTGGTGTCCAGGTCAGCAATGATGCCGGAGACGGCGCTGGCTGCGGTGATGCACGCCTGGGTGCCCTTGTTCCCCGCCTGGAGAGCTGACAACACCAGGGACACCTGTCCAAGAGAAGGGACCAAGGTGGATGCAGTGGTGGCCCATCGAAGGAAAGATGGCAAGGGTGGGGGTCACACTTTGGGAAGCCCCCACCTTTTCGCTGACCGTCCGGGTGCATTCGATCAACTCTCGCTTGGTGTAGGCGTCGGTTGGACATATCTGCAAGGCCCCGGCTTTTTGGACCAGGAAGATGCAGCTGTGTCCAAGTTCTTGAACCCGGGTTCTGATCTGGAATCCTATCTGTGGAGCCAAAAAGACGGCAGAAGAAAGAGCAAATGATAAAAAGGCTCCTGTCTGGGCTCCTCCCAAGCGGAGAGGCAGGAAAGGCGGCTGAAGGGCTGCAGGAAGAGCTGATCAGCCGCTGGAAGAACAAGGCTAAGGATGGGCTTCCGGCTTGTGAACAGGAAGATGCCTCTTCATACAAGCTTCAGAAATACTAAAGAAGCACCCCTCTCGTCTGTTTTAATATATAACCAATGTTATATTACTTTCTGTGATCATGATGTCTGTGGCTGTTGTAGAATAAAAAGCAAATTAAAACCAGGACTAACAGCCTCTCTGAACATCGGAGAGGAAATAGATCAGAAGAAGGAAAAGCCTCATTAAAGGAATGTCTTCTGCAATTGATGAAATGGAAAATTCCAAAGGTCCTTGCTTAGTGTTCTCTTAGACTTTATATACCGCTTCACAGTGCTTTAGAGCCCTCTCTAAGGGGTTTACAGAGTCAGCGTATTGCCCCCTCCCGAACAATCTTGGTCCTCATTTAACCAACCTCGGAAGGATGGGAAGCTGAGTCAACCTCGAGCCGGTCAGAATTGAACTGCTGGCAGTTGGCAGAATTAGCCTGCAATACTGCATTCTAACCACTGCGCCACCAGGGCTCTTGAAATTAGAGGCGTGGTTAAAAGTAATTAGAATTGCTGATAACCAAAATTAGAAGTAAGACTGGCTTTTACTCTAAAACTAAAAGGGCTTTTTTATTCTCCATGTTCTGAAAGAGGTTTTCCAATCGAGGGGAATGCAAAACTTTGAACCACTGTAGCTGCCCCCAGATCTACTGTGGTCTTCTCGTTTCCCACAACCCCGCAGGGCTCATGCATTTAAGGGGAGGGGACCAGGATGGCAGACCTCCTCTGGTTCCGCAGTGCCTGCTGCCATCCGTCCCTGAGAAGCCAGGTGTCCATAGTCGGTGGTCATTTGGGATGCGAGTCCTCCCAGTTCCTCTGGATTAGTGACCGCCTTGGTCATCTGAAAGGAGGGAAACAAGGATGAGAATCCTAGTTTGCAATGTTGCCTTGCAACACAGACTGAAAGGCCTGATGGGGCTTTTGGAGATCCCGCCCCCAATTTTGCTTGCTCTCTCTCTTGCTGCTAGCCTCCTCCAGTATTTTGACCTGTTGTATGGAGGGATTCTGTTGCGGTGTGAAGGTTTGGTTTTGACTTGTTCTGAACTGTCACTCCACCTTTCTATTTTGTCCCTTGCAAAAGACCCTGTTTCTGGGCATTTGCCAAGCAGATCTATCTGCCTTTAATTAAAAACCAAACCATGAAGCGAGGTCAGGCGGTGCTTCTCTTACCATCTCTTGAGCTGTGACTGCGATGGCCCTGCAGTATTTGACAACGGTGGTCTGGTAGTCCACAAAGGACCCTTTGGGATCGGAGGGTGTCCCTTCATCTAGCTGCATGGTGGAGAGGAAAGACTGTCAGCAAGGGAGAGTAGAAGACCTCAGCCTGAGGCCCTTCAGAGCCGTTGGACTACACATCCCATGATCAGCCCAGCCACCAGCTTCAGATTATAGGAGTGAGGTCCAACACCACTGTCTATCACCTAGAAGATCTGACTGAGAATGACCAAGATGCAAGAAAAGGTTGAAGCAGCCCCATCTTTTGGGGTAGGACCACCCAGTTGGAGGACCAGTAGACTCATTTCCACCTGTCTGGAGGAGAAGGATGAAGGGCTGGGCACAGATGCATTTCCCCCCAAATCCCCACAGTGTCCCTATTTCAACAAGTAACATAATAATACAAAAGCTGCTAGAAAAGATGATTATTATAACACTTAAGAAACAAGTAAAGAAGTTGGACAGGGGTCAGCCTAGTTTGAGCCTCCTTGAGAAAGCTGCATGGGCCCCTCACGAGAAGCAGCGATGGATCCAGAAGCTCCTCACTCACCTTACTCATGGCTTCAGCAATGGAATCCACCATGTTCCCCACCATGCCCACTTCACTGGCAGCTTCATTCAAGGTCACCATGATGTCATCCACGGCTTCCTTCATGAGCTGTGCTGCTTCCAGGATAGCATCATGAGTGTGTGAAGCCTGGGAGATAGAGCAGAGACCCATCACCCTTTCCTTCCTTTACAGTGCAATCATGCACGCAGAGCCCCCTCACGTCCTTCTGTGGGACAGATATGGGACACCGCCGGATCTCCAGGTTCCTCTAGAAACAGAGCCTGGAAGCTGCAAGGAAGAGGACTCCTGGAGCAAGGGGTTTCTACGAAGGGCTGCAATGTCCGCAGAATGGATCCTGTGGAAAGGACGTCTCTCCAAAAGGCTTTTTCCCATGTTGCTGCAACTGCCGCTCTAAAGGAGGGCAGGGACAAGTTGAATTGAAAGCTTCCTGGTGTATCAAAGAGGAAATACAGCATCTGCACAGAGTGGCCTCAGTATTTAGTCAGAGGATCTTAGAATTGGAAGAGACCACCGAGGTCATCAAGCCTGACCCTCTGCACAATGCAGGAATGCAAATTAGAGTGATTTCAGCAGCAAAGGGAGGCCATCCCCTCCCTGGATCATTGCTTCCACAGTCAAACTCTTTGTAATGTTTGGAATTTTCTCCCCCAAACATTCAAGTCAAAGCAGTTCTTGAAAAAGTTTTCAATCCCCCACTTCCCAAAAGTTTATTCCAAGCATCTTTTTAAAAAAGGCAATTAGAACATTTTCTGCCCGAGTTCCTTGCGGAAGACCCTAATCAGACGGAGTTGATTACCAAAGGCTGTGTTTTTAATTAAAGGCCCTTGCAGGAGAGGCAGGAGAGGAATTCTCCAGTGCTCCCATCACATACCGGCGTCTGAAACGTGATTGCTCCCAAGGAGCGTATTTTTAGACTTGTAATATGCAAATCACGTTTTCTTGCTGAAATTTCCTTCTGACAAACAAGACACATTTCAGGGAATAAGCGGGCTCTGGCTGACTGCCCTCCACATATGTCAAATTAAACCTCCCATTATCCTGAGTTAGCTCAGGCTGGCTGGGAATTTGGGGAGTGGAAGTCCACCCATCTTCAGGTTGGCAAGGCTGAAAAACATCACACAAGGTTCCCCACACCTGAGTGCAAGTGAAGAGTTGGATGAGGAGACTGTGCAAAGGAAGAAGAACGCAAGGCAGCCCTCAAGTTACGACGGTTACAACCTACAACCGTAGTGGACAGGTTCCATTACAGTGATAACTTGAGGATTACTTATGAACAAACCACCCACGTTATCCTGAAGCTGAAATGTTTCTTCCAGTTTTAAAAAAAATTCCTGCAAATACAACACTTGTTTGGAATTGATCTCCTCAATCTGCCCATTTTTTAAAAAAATGTCTGCGGTGGGGTTGCAAGGCTTAATTGGCTGAGCCCTGCAGGATTCCTGTTTCATTAGAAATCTGCCACGGCCTCAATCAAGGGCATCCAGAGCTCCCTTCCAACAGGCCCCCTCAGATCCCCTCCCTCTTCTTTGCTGGGAGGGCTTTCCCCCCTCCCCTGGTATCTGCCCCATCCCCACCCCGTCCACTGACAGATACCTTCGGGTTCCCCCCTCCTTCCTTGGCCGCGTACAGCATCTGCAGGGCCGATTCTGCCAAGGTCTTGGTTTGATCCAACAGGTTCATTTGCTGCTGGTGATTCATCAATTTGGAGACGAGGCCAACGGCCGCAAGAACCAGGGGTTCAAAGTAGCTGGAGAGCTGCGTCACCTGAGGAGGGAAGAAGGCCGAAGGGTCAGACAAGCGAGGATCTCCCCTTCCCAGACCAGCTGTGCTGGGTGCTCTTCAACCTTGACAACTTGAAGCTTGCTGGCGGGGGAATCTTGGCAGTGCAAGTCCACACATCTGAAACTTGCCCAGGTTGAGAAACTCTGCCATTTCTACAGTTCAGAAGACCCCGAGAACAGACCCCTGCTGCATCTTGGGCCCCTACCTTGTGTCCAAGCTGAGCAGCCTCACCTCGGGCTGCCGTTGCAATGGGGTCGATGAGATGGCCAATTTCCTGAACAACGGAGGTCAGCTGTTCTTGCAAAGCCTGAGAAACAAACAACAAATGGTTGTTATCCTCTTCTCCCCATAAACTATTACAAAGCTGTTAAAAACAGCCCTGCTGCTGAAGATTTTGGCTTCCTAGCTACTCCCTGGGCAGCTCCCCAAAAGGTGAACTCAACAGCCTAATCCCAAAGGAACTTCCTTCCTCCATTTGCAAACCACCATCATTTCTATATCTCAGATGGGCCAGGTTTGCTCATCTGCAGTGAGCAGTGAATTATAGGAAATTCTTCTGGTCTGTTTATACCACAGTGCTGCCTCCCTCCTCCGTTCAGTCAGTGGCTCTCCCAATTTGCATCTGAAGGGGAAATACACATATCTGGGGGGGGGGATTCATTTTCCTTCCTGGGGGAGACCCGGTGTCCCTTACCTCCACAGAAATGTCATCCCTTGTGGCCAAGTTCTGACTAACGGCAGCGAGGGAGGCTTGCTCAATGTCTCTGATGCACTTGTTAATGCCATCAATGGCGTAGTCACACTCCCGCTGGCCTGGAGCTTTGTCCCTGCAGAAAACGATGGAATGACCGCTCGTGAACTGGGCCTGCACCGAGGACTTCCAGCATAGGGGTTGCCATCTTCAGGATTTCGCGTTCTCGATTCCTCTCCTACCACCTTGCCTGGCTTTCTGCTTTCCACACCAAACTGGGCACCCAGGCCTCTTTGGATGCCTAGCGCAGGGGCCGATACACAATCATGCAGAAGATAAAGGGAGGAAGCTCCACCTGATGGAAGTGATGAGGCTCTTGATGGACTCGGAGACGGTGTGCGAATGTCCAGCCAGGACAGACCAGGTGTTCGGGTCCTTGGGGTTGATGGCCAGTGAGCGAGCTGTTTTGATCAAGGAAGACGAGCTCTCCAGCATGGTTCGAGCAGAAGCCAGGATGGGCTCCTGTGCGCGAGAACCCTGGAAAGGGACCATTTGCTGAGCAAGAAGCTCCTTCAAGGTGTTTAGGCTTGCAAAGAAGGCTCCTCCTCCTCCTCCTCCATCAACGTTGTATTAATGGCTCGGGTGGTGGAACACAGCAGGCTATGAATGCCCCCGTCTTTGGGGAGGCCTGCTCTTACCTCAGCACTGATCTGAGCAGGAATGCTGACAAACTCAGGATTGGAGGCAAAGGCGGTCAGGTTTTCCACAGCTTCAATGAGCGGAGCAGCGGCGGTCCGGCACTTGCTGCGATTGTCTTCTGAAAAGTCTCCATCCAAAGCCTAATGAGGAGGGGAAAAAATGTGGTTTAGAGCTCAATTAAAATAATATGGATAACACAGCCAGGGAAAGAATAAAAAAGCAACTGAGGTCTGTTCAAGCAAGAGGTCTCAACTGTGAGCACAAAACATTCAAGGAGGTGGCTGAGTCCCCTCTTTCAATGGGTCTGTTGGAGCTGGTGAAGGTATTGGATGAAAGTTGGGTTCAAATTCTCCACTTGGTTTTGAGGTCCACCAGACTACTTCGGTGCTCTTCTGCTGGGACATTATCTTTTCCAGGCTCCTTCAAAGGAGCTCAGATCCCATGGCAGACCACAGGTTGCCTCATACCCCGCGTGCTACGCTTAACCATGATTGAGTGAATATCTCAGTGGGCAGATCTGCTTTTCTCAAGTTTCTTTTTCCTTTGAAACCACACTTCTTTCTGGCTGTCATCTTTTTTGTCAAGTACAAGCAGCGAAAGTGGGTTCCTTTCAGGCTGCAAAACCTGATTCGTTTCCTCTAGGAGGTTTTCACTGAAATATTATCTACGTTTTCTTTCCTGTTAGTTAAATGTTTAGATTTGGCTTGTTTGGCATTTATGTTTTTATCACAACTAGCTTATTTTACATCATTGTTGAAGACCAATTTGGGGTTTTAGGATTTGTTTCGATCTTCTTACTCCAAACCTCACTCAGAGAGTGGTTGGAACTCAGACCGATTGCAGAATAATGGAAAGGATCACACCCCAATAGGGCGCCTGAAAGAAATTTCAGGATAAACCCAGAAATTTTAAAAGGCTGTTTCCCCTCTGCCTCGAAAGACCACCCACCACAGCACCCACTTTTCAAGTCTGGTTTCTGGCTTTCTACAGCTTCTCCAAAACCAGCTTTTCTTTCCTGTAACACGAGAACAGGAAACCTCTGGAGACCACGGGCAGAACAGGTCCACTTCACGGCCCTGGGCTTCCTGAGAGACTCGGAAAGATCGGCCCCTCCATGCCCCCTGCGGCCACCCCACCCCGGCAGACGTGGAAACAACTTTCTGGGGCTTGTCTTTCAAAGTCCCCTATTTCCTCTCTGTTGGAGGGTTCAAAGGTATCAGGGCTCTGCCCCACCTTGATGGTCTTCACCAGGTTGGCCGTGCTGTTGGCCACCTCCTTGGCCGACTGGACGAAGTGCCTCTTGGCCACGGGGTTGGCCGTTTTGGACGAAGCGATGCGGCAGGCGTTGCACAGGGCAGAGGTGTGCTTGGCCACGATGGTGGCTGCTGATAAGACCTGAAACGGACACGAGGGGATCAGGGCTTTGCACAGCGGAAGTCCAGGGAGTGACCCCCGGGCGAAGGTCCATCTTCTTCAAGGGTCGGGGGCAGGAATGGTCTGTATACCACCACCCCGAGAGGTGGTATACAGCAAGAGGGGAACTAAGGAGAAAAAAATTGAGAGTCTTCTTAGAGGGGTGTTTTATCACATTTTTAGGGGGTTCGGGGTTGGCCCGAGGGGACTTGGGGGAGCCCTCTCTGAGGCCAAGGCCAGTCCTATCTGAGGGGCGCGGAACGGTGAGGGAGGAGACTGGGGGGTTAAGAGAGGGTGGTGTGATTAGTACGGTCAGTGGGAGGGGCAGATATGGCGGGAGCAGAGGACCATATCGGGTTTTGGGAGCACGCACACGCTGCTTACAAGCTTGTGGGTGCTCCGATCCTCAGGGCTCTACTCGGCTTCCAGGGACTTTAGATCCTC